TTATCAAAACCGGCAACAGAAAAAAATGCGTAGCCTGGGCGAACTTGACAGAAAAAAGGGGGCCACTAAATCCAAGTTTAAGTGAAAGACCACAAGCTGGAGTTTAGCAATCCAAGGCCACATCACAATTTACCCATTCAGTTTTTCCACAAAACTGGAAAAATCCTCGACATGATTCACACTGGGAACTTTGGGCATAGGGGCCACGAAACTGGCAGCATCTTGTTCCGGGGTTTTGAAAGAACAATCCATACGAAAGAACGGGCGCTGGTCATTATCTCGTACCATCGGATACGCTTCAACCAGTCGGTGACTGAATGAGCGACTGTCTCGGAATCGTGTCACATGATACTGGTTGGGTAGTTTTACATTGGCTGAAACGAAAGACGAGGTCAGTCAGGAACGAGGAAACCTTTGAACACCTGACGCAATTTAAATATTACCTTCCGATGGGAAATTCGATATGAACCTATATCAAAACCTCCTTGCCAGACAAAAAAATATCTATAGAGAATCAAAGAGGATGGAGTGAATCAACATTGACTAAATACTATTCCAGAATATAAACAGAAAATGAATACCAAGACAATGGATATTTGATCTTAACTTTGGTAAGACAGTGATGTGTTCCTGTTTTCCCCTTCAGTGGAGGACCGCAAAAATAAATGATATAAACTGTACCACGGAAGTTCCCAAATCTATGATCTCTTTTTTCCAAGCCTTATAAAAGGTCCTATCTAACGACTAACCTGATCGAACCCGTTAGGGAACAGCCCACGTGCAACTTTATTCACAAGTATAGAATAATACGGAGCTTCTTGGCATGTACGTCGTTCTTAAAATGTACACTCCAGAACTAGCTTCCCTCCTACGCCGCTTATTCGCTTTATCCCTCATGAAAAATATCATAAATCTTTCCCATTCCCAAACGCCGCGACCATTCAGAGCTAAACAACCACTGCCCCCCCCCCCATTTCTCTCACATCAGTTATTCCGAAGGTTATGGAATCAGTTGTTGCAGATCAAATCCGCCGACACCTGGGGCAGAACAAGATGCTTAGCGACCGGTAATCTTCTGGTGCTCATTTCGCATACATGGTCAGCGGCACTCTACAACCACAGAGAAAACCCACATAGTGTCGTTGGATATATCGAACAGCTTCTGATTGTGTCTGGCACGCCGGTCTGCTAGCTAAACTACCCAAGTTTGACTTTCATTTGGAAATTGTGTCTTGGACAGCAAGCTACCTCAAGAACCGCAGCATCTCCGTTCGAGTAGATGGGACCATGTCTCATTCCGTGCCTATGAATACTGGTGTTCCCCAAGATTCTGTACTTTCTCCTTCTCATTTTCTGATGTGTGTTGATAACCTTTCTGTAAATTCAAATCGTATCCACGCCTTTGCCGATGACGCTATCCAAACCTCTTTTTTATCGTTTTTCTCTTCTCGCATCGCTAAATGCAGCATTAATTACGACCGCTCTTCCTTAAATTGATTTGGGCTACCGCAACCGTGCTCTCTTCGATGCTAGTAAAACTTCGCCAATGTCCATTTCACTTAAGCACGCAAATTTTTTCCCTTCCTTGAATTGTAACTCGAACATTCTCCGTTCCACATATTCATGCAACCTATTTTATGATCAGCGTATATTTATCTACTTGCCTCTCGCGCTGCGCGCAAAACAGGGCTTCCTCGTCCGTGTCAGACGTTTCTCAATCCTTATTTACCTCCTCCCGCTTTACAAAGCTCAGATCCACCCTATACTTGAATACCGTAGCCATGTGTGGGATGGAGCTTCATCCAACTCTACTTCCCTTATTGATCAGGTTCAACGTGAGGCCATTCGTTTCAACAACGATACGTCCGTAACATGTAACTTAGTCACTAGCTCACCGTCGGTCAGTCGCTTCTCTATCCTTATTCTATCGAGACTACTTTGGATTTTGCTCCAGTGGACTTTCCGCTTCTGTCCCTCTCTCGTTTGTTCTTCCTCGTAGATCCCGCGAACACGCGGCTAGCCAAGTGGCATTTCTAACTTCTAATCATCTTTTTCCCAAGAACAGCACAGCTGAGGAATATTCCCTCGTTTTCAGTCTTGCCTTCAGCGTAAAACAGTCTCGGCTTTAGAAACGCAGAATCAACAAGCTGGCTTGAATGTTAACTATACCTTCCCACTTTCAGTATATCTTCGAATCGTGGGGTTGACCCCTTTTACTCCATTCACTTTTGTGTAATAAAAAAGACTGACCAAATATGCTCCATACACAATATGTTTTCCCCTTAATTAGCCGCGAGCACGTTGCTGTTTGATGACAGATCAAACAAAGACGGAGAGTGGTGGGATCCGGGTTTTATATTTCTCATCGAACGGAGCATGAAGTGGTCAGATTATTCAAAGGCCATACTACATACTGTTTCGTTGCAAATTCATGCTAGTTTATCAATGGGCTGACCATAAAGTTCGGCTGGAACCGGGAATCGCTTCATGAACATGGATGAGCGCAATAACCACGAGCACTTTATCAACAACAGATCCTCGTGACTATGGGTTTCACCTCCGTCTGCTGTTCATCATACGCAGTGAGTGATTAAAATAACAGTAATGGTATGTAGCTCACACACACATTCGGAATACATACCGCGATCGTGAAAATAACAATGCAAACTGTGTGGTTTCAGATCTTTTCCGACAGTTTTGCTTGCCGCGATCAACGCCTGTGCCATCAACTCGCCACCGTAAATAGTTCGCGGATTTGGTGTGAACACACGTTCGCCTCTGGAACAGAATGGTGGGCGAAAGTTAGACCCAGATTAGAGGAGAAAGGAGCAAGTGCCAAAAAGAAAGATATCAAACTGTGACAAATAAAAATAAATAACAAAGAGAAAAATAAGTTACGGGGGTCTAAAATGAGCATCCTCAAAAGATTTACGGACTGAATTGCATTGAAACAGCCATGATTGATAGGATTGTCCTGCCGGTATTTGTACCGATTTGAACCAACAAAACAAATCATTCTCCCCCTTGTGCCTTAGTTATCATTTGAATGTATAGCGAAACTCCCGAAATTGCCTGAATCGATTTGAAAGGCGCGCGTTTTGTCGAATGCAAGCTAATCTCCAAGTTACCGAAATCTATCTGTCTCACGATAGAAATTGACTGATAGCGGACGTGAACGGGGGAGGGGAAGGCAATGAACACATGTAGTTTTATTTCAGTTGAATCACAATCGTATGGATCGACAAAACAAAACATCACAAAAATATCACGTAATGCTAACCGACATCGCCGGACGGACCGAGGGATCGATCGTGGATGGTATGCAATCGATGATAAGAGCAAGTAGATAGTAGGTAAATTTGTGTGTATGGTAGCTAATTTATTGACATGGCGTGCAAAACGAGAAAACATGTTTTAACATGCATTACAGAATGTCGTCACTCTAAAACAAAACGTCAAACACACGATTGAAGGGTGTGAGTAATCGTGTGAGATTCTGTAGCTGACCCCATAACGAAAAATTAAAGTGAACAGCAGGTTTCCTGATTTTTGGACAAAAATTCCACGCCAATCAACTGGGACTAAAAGNCACCCTGTAATCCCAAAGGAACGATGGTAATCTGCTCTGTAATCAGTTCAGTTCAGTCTGTACAAACATTAACCATGAAATTTCGTGCACCAGTGTTGGTTGCTGTATTTCGGCTGCCCGTTAGGGGAAAGAAAGGTGGAAAGTAAAATAAACGAGAAAATTAGGAATTTCAGTGGATGAATGTTGCAAAGAAATTGGCAAAATGCAAGGACGCCACTGTTTACGACAACCAACAATACCACTCAGTCCCTAACCATCGGTGACCACCGTCCCGAGGTCCCCATCCGGCAAGCCTAACGGGACCTAAGTGACCCAGACTCATGGTTAGGGTTTTCATACTCTCATGGCAGGTCTTTGCTTGAGTATTTTTGGCTTTTTCCATCCATTACCTGTTTCAGGGAACATCCCTCGCCGTGGCAACCTATCTGGTGATATGCGTAACACATGACCTAACTAGCGTAATCTATGCAGGTCGAACACTTGCTCCAATGGGCGACCGCGGTTGATTATATTGTTGCACCTAACCTCAGCATTGCTCGTCCGGCTGCCCACCAGATTTGTGTAATGTTGCGTAGAGAGAGGGGACAACGAAAAAAACGGCGCAAA